AGGGCAGTAGCATAGTACCAGTACACCAGTAGCACAGCAGCACTTGTGAATTGGACAATGCAATGCGGTGCGGTGCAGGGTAGCAACAGTGCCCTACGCGCACGCGAGGCCCGGCCATATGCCCTTTGGCTCTCTTGGGTGCAAACATACACAGGGACACGGTCGTCGTGTGGGTTCCAATGCAACTGCCATCAGCCACCTTTGATGTGCTGTATTATGGCATGCATGGTAGCTACAGCTACTACCAGACACCAGCACCAGCAGCAGCATGTTTCATCGATGCAATGCAGCTACAGCGCAGTAGGAGTACACCTCAACCCTGAGGCGCCCCAACAGGCCAACACTTCTGCCCAGTCTGAACGAGGCTGCAATGGCATCAAAAAGTTTTGGAAACAGAGGGCCTGCCTCGTTTATTTAAAAAAAAAAATGAACATGGCTTGCCTTTGGCAGCACAGATGAAAACGCTAGTGCTACAGACTGCAGAGCTATATATAAATATACGGCTACACCTGTAGACTGCTAACTTGCTAGGAATTACCAGCCGTAGACCGGGTTCTGTACCTGGGGCGGCGGGAGGTGGAGGTCCAAGCTATGCTGCTTGTCGTAGTTCCGGGTTCCCGGGACAGCGCCGGTCGACAGCCTCAGGAGCTCGCTGCCGGTGAAGCAGTAGTGCACGAACGCCAGGCCGCCGTCCACGACGTCCGATATGTTCGGTGCCGAGGCGGATCTCCTCATCCTTGTGTTAGCGCTCTCGCTGGATTCGCTGGCGCGCTGCTGTCGCAGTTCAGGTTGGTCTTTTGTTATCCCTTTTATTTCGGCGGAATAGTCATTCTGGTCTCTCAACCAGTATCCGAGGCTCAGTTTCGTCCATAAACTTTTAAAACGTCCGTTTTAGTCCTCAAACTCTACTTTTAGGCTCAATTTTATTCTAGAACTATGAAGATGATCGTTTTAATCCTCAAACTTTGTATTTTTGGCTCAATTTCATTTATAAACTATCAAAATGTATTTTGTTCTTTAAACTTTTATTTTCAACTCAACTTTGTCTACGTTCTACGTGGAACGTTGCACTGTTGCACCTGGTTAGCTTCAAAACCACCGAGCGATTGGAGATAGAAAAATATTATTTATCCAAAAACTCATTCGTGGCCATTAATAATCCCAAGCTGTTATTTTTAATGTTACCTTATAATGGTACTATTTATATATATCCGACTAAATGATATTTGTGGGAGCAATTACAATTGCTTCGAACACTACTTATTCTTTAAGAATACATGGATATATTAAAACAATAGAAGATCTACGATTTTGATAATTTATGGATGAAATTGTGCCTAAAATGTAAAGTTTTCTTTTTGAATAGACAAAATTGAGTTGAAATTAAAAGTTAAATGCACTTTGATAGTTTACGGATGAAATTGAGCCCAAAATACAAAATTTGAAGACTAAGATGATCATCTTCATAGTTGTAGGATGAAACTGAACCTAAAACTAAAGTTTGAGGATCTAAACGGCCGTTTTGAAAGTTTAGGAATGAAATTAAGCATCGAGTAATAGTTGAGGGACCAAAATGGCTATTGTGCGTTTTATTTCTCAAAAACTTACCGCCACTATCTAAAATATTTTCACGTCAATCAAAGAAGACAAATGGCAGCTCAACCTATATATCCAGAGGCAAATGAGGATCAGATGGCGAAGGAAGCAGTTGGAGGGATCATGAATGATGTTTCAGAATAGTTTCCCTAGTGTTGCCAACCATTTTGTTTTGCTAGGTCATTTTTGTTTCACATAACAATAGTTACTCTTAGTTTTGGTTTCATATTCAAGTAATTTAGGACATGTACTAGGTTTTGTTTTAGCTATGTAAATTTTAGTGGTTCACATGTTTTTTCATTGGTGTTTTAGCTAGGTCATTTTTGTTTCACACAACAATAGTTACTCTTAGTTTCGGTTTCTTATTCAAGTAATTTGAGACATGTAAGTGCACGTTTTGTTTTAGCTATGTAAATTGTGGATCGCATGATTTTTCATTGGTATGGAAGTACTAGACTAATTTATTTCTATGTGGTGGCCTTCTTCAAATTCACATAGTAGTTCTGAGTGTCTCTATGATATAAAAGAACAAAAATTTCAAAATTTAGAGTTCGTATCCTAGGGAAAATAAGGAGACGAGTTCCGAAATTCATTCAGTTTAAAAAGATGCAAGGTTCATTCAGTTTTAGAGTTGGTGCAAGGAACATTAATAGATATAGACAAACTAATGTTGTACATGCTCTTTACAATTCCATCTATATGGGCTGGGCCTAACCAGGGACATCTATATTCAGTTGCCAAAGCTTGGACTCTACTGAAGATCAGCAAGTTGATTGTGCAGACCTGATATTCACTGAAGCAACTTACAACCCAGAAGCACTGAAAAATGTATCAAGGAATTTTGCATCTATCTGTGGTTGGCCGCACTCGCACTATAGAGCAATATCATGCAAATTCGCTGCTGGGATGGATGACACTGAGCCCTGGGTACTTTCTGATTTACTATGTCATGTTGCCAGATGGTGCAGTACAAGGAAGAAAATGCAGTTCAGTTCAGACACCATAGTATGCTGGAGTTCAGTTCATCTCATTTATTTGAAGAGTGGTTGCACTTGCACCTATCATTCACGGAAGTCATGCAACTATCTTCTGGAACGACTACAACATGGATTTCGCTACAGCGAATGGGTGGTCCTAGGGTGGAGAGGACTTGGCATTCAGAATATGCACAAGTGATTAAATTGCCCCATTCTTCTGCATGTGCACTGCAGCAAGGTCTTATATACTATAATTTGAATTCGAAACCAAGCAGCACATGGGTGATCATTTGTGTGTGCATGGGCAGGAACCTGATCTTTTCTTCAGACACTTGCTCAACTGATGAGAATAAGCATTTTGCATCTTATTTTGGAGTTATCACCAAGTCTCGGCTCATATATCAGCATGCTCAGGTTGCTCAGATATGTGTTTGGTTACTAGATTATAGAAATAGTGCAATGGTCCACCACAAGTCATATCAGGAAGCCATTGGATGACCAAACACGCCAAGATATGTGGGTGTTTCTTGCAATACTAATGATCTTGCAATTTGACAAATACGTGGGTATTTCTTGCCACCAGGACGGAGATACTGGTAATCACTATTTCGCCAGTACACTCGCATGGCACATTCAGTTGGGCCACAAGATCAGTATTTGCTGGGATGAGCTATTATGGGCCACAAGTATGCAATTGCTATCTCAGTGGCATTTTAGTAAAAGCAGTTGTGCTATCTGTGGAACATAGCAGAGTTATTCTAGTACTTGTGGTCAACCGATCAGCGGGGAAAAATATGCAGAGAGATGTTCAGTCAGCACCAGTTGGGAACTCGGTCTATATCCCATTCGTAACGTTACTTACACGTTATCACAGTGGACACTTGAAATCAGCAAATGGTGTTGCATTATATCTGAAGCTGAATTTTGTGATGGGACACAACTCCACAAAGCTTCAGTTGTATTTGCTTGGTATGCTAGTGGTCAGATGCGACCTGACAAGGAATATGCTCCAGGCCACTATTTACTGGATGTATCAGGCTTTGGTCTCCAAGGAATACAACAGCTTCTTAAGGCCAACACCTTCTACAAAAGGAGTGAACTTCTCTGCAATGTCAATAGTAAGGAGTTGATCAAACTCAGTTGGGATACCGGTGGCATCAACAACACTGGCTTGGGGGGGCAAGCCGCGATTTAAGCGGAGGATGTACTGAGTGGACTGGGCTGTGTGGTGCATGGGCTGAGGCGTAGGTGCTTGGGTCGAGTGAGCTTGTCGCGAGGCGAGCGTTGGGTGAGCTGGGCAGAGAATATAACCCAGAGTTGTAACAGTGGAAGGACATGAACTGAATAGAGAAAACTAATCTTCCCATATTCGTCTGTTCCTCTGTATCTTCTTCTTGCTGTTCTTCCTGAAATCTGATTCCTTCCCCATTTCTTGCTGATTTCCATCTCCATTCCGCTCTAGCTACCTAGGATCGTAACAAATTTCTATGCCTCGGACCACTATCTAAATGCCTTAAAAAACTTATATCATGCCTCCAGGCCTAAGTACCGATAATCAACAGAACAGAAAATACACATATTTTTTGTTATAACAAATAGTTTCATAATCTATACAACATAATGGTTTATATAAACTTATAAACTAATCGTGAAATACTGTACAGCTTGCCTCCCCAGTTTGGATGTGTGTTTGCTTGCCCCTTTTACTCTAGTGCCACTCTGCACGTGTAACTCCTCCTTATCCACTTAGTGAACGGCAGAGCTCCTGCCCTCTTGCCAGTATGTACCTATGAGCGCCGTCTGCCCGTCTGCGCGGAGAGCGAGCGAGCCGAGAGGCTGCACATCGGCCAAGCGCCTGGTGGCAGGCTGCTGTCTTGCTGGGCTGTGAGATTTATTGGATTGGGCCATAAATTTTCGACAGGGTAAGTGAACTTTTTGGGCCACGGCCCTAGGCCTATATGGCTATATCCGCCAGTTATATTGATACAAAGGGGGAAATGTTACATGGTGTTGTGTTGCCGTTGGTCAAAGGAACGCGGAAAGAATTCCATGTTGAGGGTTCAGGAGCAACTGGGCATTTCGATACATGGACAAGTAGCCTCTGATTTTTTTCTTCTGTATCTTATGTCTTGAAATAAATATTTTTTATTTATATTAAAAAACATGTGCGTATCGAACGTGCCTCTCTCTATTAGTTAAAAAAAAACTCCTATTAAAAATATCTGTTTCCACTCAAATTTGGCTGGAAGCTAAAATAAAGCTAAATATAGGAAACCCCACAAGTTCCAACTAGTTCACCTCAAAAAAAAAAAAAAGATGAATCAACATAGCGATTCGAAAATTCCTCCCAAATAGACAAAACTTATCCTACAACATAACGTCCCCCATTCCCTTTTTGTTACAACAAAAACGCCGCACGACACCCAATCAATAGAGCGGGAAGCGTTCCTGGAGACAGCGAATCGAAGTGGCGGGGGTATAGAACTCCTCGCTGCGTGGGTCTGTCTTGTAGGACTTGAACCTGTCCCAGAAATGTTGTCCTCGGTCCTTCCTGATGGTGCGGTCATTTCTGTTCAGGGTGTTGTCCAAGAAATAGGCCACAACGCCTCCGACAAATGCTTCGGACGAGAATACCGCCTCGATCATGTCAGTGACCTAGCGATGGGCAAATAAAAACCATCAGTAGCTAGGTAGTTCCTCATGAATCAACATTGTACATGCTCTGATGGATCTTCTTACCCATGGGTTCAATGAGCCATGACCTGCCAAATTGTAATCCTTGAGATACTTCGGAACCGACAATCCCATAAACATGGAGAATCCAAGGATGAATTTTGTTCGGAAGCTGTTAAGGTTGCAAAACTGAAGGCACGTGATCCCTCCCGTACCTGCATGCACAGGGAGGCAACTAGCTTATTGCTCGTACCATGCACGATTCATTATTTTTTTCTTGTACCATTCATGATTCAATCGTCAAGGGAACACAAGTCCTGTTGTTTAAGACTCGCTTCATAATACATACCAACATATGCAAAGAGAAGGCAATATATAGCTGCAAATATTGGGCCTGGAATTGACGCAAAAAAAGCTCCAAATTTCCCTGGTAACACAACACAAAAATAATACCATCAGATACATACAGGTCACAAACTCACAATTATTGCCAGTAGTGTATACTACCTTTGGTCACAAAATAAATCAATTTTAACTAAAGTCAAACTATCTTAAATTTGACCAACTTTATAGAAAAGAGTATCATCGTTTATGACACCGAATAAATACTATAAAAATATATCTCATGATATATCTAGTGATAGAACTAATTTAATGTGTCATAAAATTGGTGCTCTTTTCTATAAATTTGATCAACCTTAAAACAGTTTGACTTGGGGCAACTTTAAAAGTTGATTTATTTTAAGATTGGATGTATTATTTTTATATTGTGATGTTTACCCCCCTCATTAATGAGGTTCATTACGTGTAAGTAGTACATTGTTGATCTTCCCATTATTAGCTTCTAGATTTTTGTGTGGATTCGTGTTAGTGAACAAATTGTGGGTAAGCATTTTGATCTGCAGTTTTATCTTATGACTTTTTGGATTCATATGGGCTATGTCTATGTTCAACCTATACGTAAGTTTGAGATTATGTACGTATTAATATGGATTATCTACCACTATCCATGAATGTGACCAATAATGATCCTGATATTGTGACTTATCATTCATAAATGTGCAACATTTTATTCCCTACAGTAAGAGAAACTCAAAGAGACTCTCTATATCTTTCCTAATGGTTAGGAATAGATATTTTGGTGAAAAACAACCCTCCAAAGCTTCTTTGGTTATCTAAAATAATCATCCTCTATTTCGGATTTCTCGCTAGCAAAAAAAAAAAAGAAAACGAGAATGGTCTCTAGAGTGAGCATGAGATATAAAAAAATTATTGTAGAGTGAAAAGATATAAAAAACAATTTTCATAAAAATGACTTTCCAAATGATGATTTAGAGAGTGGGATTTAGAAAGACTCTTGGAGATGCTCTAAGAGCAACTCTAATAGACTTGTTATATCCTTCCTAATTATTAGAAATAGAGATTTTGGTGAAGAACTACACTCCAACAGCTTCTTTAAATGGTTATCCAAATATAACCATCTTCTATTCTGGATTTCTCGCTAGTCAAAAATAGAAAACAAGAATTACTCGCTAGAGTGCGCACGAGATATAGAAAAACTGTTGGAGTCAAATGATATAGAAAGCGATTTTTGTGCAAATGACTCTTCAAATGAGGATTTAGAGAGTGAGATATAGAAAAATTCTTGGAGATGCTCTAACATATTTAAATTTAGCTAGTACTATCCTACACATTCATAATTTGAATTGTTTTTTTGTTCATTTATTTAATTATTGGTTAGGCAAACTTGCTAGAATTAAGAACTTCGTTCGACTCGAAAAGACTTATTAGTCAGGTCATGGATAACAGCCTGGATAAAGCTTCAACTTTTCTAAAATATTCAAACTTCAAAGATGTTCAATTCTAGCAGAGTATGGTAATTAACCACCCGTCGAGTATATATATGATTACATCAAAACATATAGTTTAGTAATTTACCAAAGATGGAGAAGAGTATCATAAATCCAGCGGAAATTTGCACCACGCGTCGGCTACCAATTCGTGTCAGAACTAGCAATCCAGCATTCTCTCTGTCCCAGCAGTGTAAAAATATTGGAGAGTAAGTGAAAAAAATATATTAAATGCCATGGGTGCCATGAAGTGTTACATGTGGCGCCATTCTCTGATACAATATGTTCACATTTCAACATTTTCTTTTGAAAATACCCAGATATTACATCGTTGGAAGAACTATTAAATGAAATGTTTTTTTTTGGCAAAAATACATCTAAAAATCTGTCATATCTGTTTAAATGGGCATCGTAAGTGCATTCCACGTAAGTTTAGATGGTACTGATGTCATTATTTTTTTCTCCGACCAACATTGAGCGGTATCCGGATTGCACCAACTCACAAGAAAGCTATTGAAATAAATGAACATGTATAGTATTAAATAAATGCATTATCATGAGTCGAGCATAGCTTAGCTGGTTGGGTTCTTTATGGTGGAATCGTATTTTTTCCATGACTTAACGGTGTTCAATTTCTTGACTTGATGTGGATGCTCGTGTTTTTCTGGATTTATTTTAGGATTTGACTGTGTTATTTTTTCAGTGGTAGGATATATGAGTGGCTACGTCTATACTATGATTCACAAAAAAAAAATCCATTATCAAAATACATTTCATGGTACTCTAATGAATCTAGCTTGATGTTATAGTTGATTGTGCATTTTTTTTTGAAATTTGATCAAAGTTAGAGAAGTTTGATTTAGAACGCATCTAATGAATCTGGTTTGATGTGGTAGATGATTGTGCATTTTTTCTAAAATTTGGTCAAAGCCTCAAAGATAGAGAAGTTGGACTTATGACAAAGCTAGAACGGCTTACAATCTATGAGGGACAGAGTATCATCTAGAATCTCTTACACAGATGCAGAGGATCCATTAGCGGTTCCAAGTAAGCCGCCCAGCAAAATACCAATCCCCTGCAAATGAATGTTCGATGCTCACGTGACATTCAGAGTCTTCAAATAAACTACGTGCCAACGGTGGAGTTCAGAATGTACCTGCCAACCAACACCACGGCTCATTACAGAAGGAGGGCAGGGTGTTGCACCGGCAAACCGTGCGCTCGCAATGAACGCACCAGTAGACTGCATTACAATGAGGCGGAATATTAGTTGTTGGGCTAGCTCTATACAGCTTATACTCAAGTATCGTGTATAATATCATAGCATTTGTCCACAAAGACCTCCACAAGAGCAACAAAAGAAGCTGCCGTCATGGCGAAAGCTTCACGAGCATGGAATGTTGGCACACCCCATTGGAATGGGTATGGTATACTAATCCTGCACATCACAAAGCATTGATTATTCATTTGACCGCCTTTGTTATAAAAAAAAGCAAATATATACCGTGCATTCAAAATCAAAAATAAAAATGCAAATAGAAATTTCAAATATACCACGGAGCAGCCCCAACAAGGCCTGATCGATCGGTACGGCAGTGGGATTGGGTTTCTGGACCAGCATTTTTATAAGCCCCTCCAATAGTAAGGAAGAATGCATAAAGCCACACGACGGCAACAGATGTTATGACGGGAATGCGTCTGATGTAATAGTTGATTGCCTGAACCTAATCATGACAACGATCACCAGGGAAAAGGTTCACGTACTGCAGAGAAAATTGCCACAGCGTAGACATCACAGGGCGTCACATACTGGTACAAGGTCAGACAAGAGGCATGCTGACGCATGTACCTGAGAAAGAGCCACCAGCAGTACAATCTCTGGAAGACCAATCCATATGCATTTGGCGGCCTGCCTAGCGAATTCATGCTGTTAAACCACTGTTCCAAGCAATAGGTACATATACAAAAAAATGAGCGAATTGTTTGCAAAAGAATAAAAAAAATACACTTGCAAATCCATGCTCGTAGAGCCCAAACCCAACAAGCGCGACCAAGGGCGCTGCAGACAGTGGGCTCAGCTGCCTACAGCATCACAAGAAACGATAGGCATTACAAGAACGAATTCGCGCAAGTCAATGTATGTACACCGTTGATACGAATATCTGGAACAATCTTTTTTTTTGTGTGAATAATATCTGGAACAATCTAAGCTCTGAGGAGACTAACCTGACGATAATTCGCCACAGCCCACTGAACCCCAGAACGATTTGCAGTGCGGAGGAGGCTATAAGCGCGCCCTGTGTCCCACGCATGATGTGCACAAATTTCTGCAGCCCAAAAAGGTCACATCACATACATCTTTTCACTAGTCTATGAATAGAATCTTATTTTACTATTAAAAATTAGAGGTCCTTACCAAGTTTACACATTAATTAAAAAAATAAATCTTAGAAATTCTCACAATAACATAAAGAAGTGACCTTTAATTTGGTAGACTCTATGCGTTCAAAATTTGGTAGACTCTACCCAACATCGCCAACACGTAATCTAAAAAAAACAACGCCAACAATAGACATTAGATGTATTCTGTTTTATAAAAAACTACCCATCTTTGCTATTATGAGAAATACATAAAGTAACTCCCTAACTTTACATCTAAATTATGAAATATAGACTATCACGAATAGTATATCAATATCCATAAAGCACGCTATATTTATTTCTAAATTGCACACTTTTACAAATTGTAGTTTAAAATAAGTGTAATGTTGTTCCATCATGTAGACATAGTAAACATGTATACATTATGATGAATATTTATTTTAACAATTATCAAGCGTGGAAAATATTATATTAACAAAACACGTAGCAATGACACAAACAAATTCACTTTAAGTTATATTAAACTCCATGACAATAAATTTCATAAATCGTTTTTAAAGTTTATACATTTTGAATGAAATACTATATCTTTCCAATATTGGCAATTTAATTTTAAGCACTCTATGTTTTATAAACAATACTACTACACATATAATTCTATGATATAACAAATTCAATATTTGAGTACCACGGTGCAAGCTGAAACAACAATTTATGCCATTGTAAGAATAAATAGGGTAGCCTAGGTCTTTCAGTATTTTCATAATTCAATAAAAAATTTAAATTTTAATAAAAGATACAATAAGCTCTACAATTTTAACTTAACATGTGCATAAATAAATGCAACAACTAGATTAAAAGTTGAAATTTAAACTATGGATTCATGATGTCATAAAAGGGAAACAATGATAGGTTATATAACTTAAGCTTAGGTTTAACTAAATAATATCATGCTAAAAAACCGCCAAATTCTAACCAGAGTTCCTCAATGGAGCCTCCATGTTAATCCTCAAATTCAATTCTAGAGTTTTTCATAAAAAATAAAAAAATCTAGCCATCAATTTGATATACTCTAATCACCATTGATTATAGTAGCCATTAGATCTATTCTATTTTTTTTAATAATACCACCTCTGCGATTGTGTGAAGAAACATAAAGTATCCCATGAATTTATGTCTAAATCACCCACCTAGTCTATTAAAAACATGATTTAAAGTAAATCTAAATTTACATCAAATTACCCGCCTGCTATTATGATAGATAATCTATATATGTAACCCCTTACAAAACTAAATATCCCCTTAAATGTACATCTAAATTATTGACATATTCTAATACAAAAAATGTTCAAATGACCATAAAGCATATGTCTTTCTACATTACCCACTTATATTAATATTAATGCAATAAAGTTTAACTAAAGCAAACATACATATTATGCCATCATGCGATTAAGTAAATATGCACGCTTGAGCTTCAGCAATCATGAAAATGTTTCCTTAACAACTCATATACTAATGATACTAACAAATTATTTAAAATTATATTAATAAACATGACATGTGATTCATATAAGTTATTACTTTAGATGTATTTATACGTTTTGACTAATGTTTGACGTATATAATTGAATAGTATAACCATTACTGGAAATACTTATTAAAAAAACCATCACTACACATATAAATCCATGATTAGAAAATTCAAAGGTCTTGAGAAGTGGGGGAAGTTAGTGCAGATCACAAGTTTTTATTAATATCCTCTGACATATCTTTCCTAGTCTTTGATATTCTTTTCGAGGAAACAATCCTCTCGAGATTAACATTGTTGTGCCATCCTAGATCTCACAATAAATCTATTTTTATAATAAATTTATTTGGAGATATAAATATTGCTAATATTTTCTACAAATCTAGTCTAACTTATTGGTATGCAAATTGTAACGATAGATATTTAAAGACAGAGAGAGTTTGTGTTTACATGATGATTTAGTATTTGAAAATAAAAAATTTCTCATCTCCTCGGGTTATCTACTAACTCTGTCATCGCAGCCAAAGGCATTTTTCAGACACATGTTCGTTGGCGTATTTGGATTCGGAAAAGCTATTCCACCATCCGTCGCAAACGTCGCACGATGGCGCGACCTCCCTTCCGTGCATCTCCTCTCCCTCTCCCTCTACTCCAGCGCGTCTCCCTCTCCCACGTGCCCGTGTCCGCAAGGACGACGAGTCCGTCGAGCTCCTCCACACGACCGTGCCCCCAGCCGCGCCGTCGAGCTCCTCCCCCTCTCCTTCCCAACTCCGGCGGGCATAGAAGGGCCCGGCCGGGGGAGGCAGGCTGGCCAGATAGTGGGGAAGGTGGCCGGGCGGCTTAGGGGCCCTAGCGGCGGCGGATGCAGGGAGGGGCGGGGGCGCCATGGCCGTGGAGCTCTCCGTCATGGGAAGGGAGGGGAAGAAGGCGGCCGCGGTTGTCAGTACTTTTCAGATGATCTTATTACCAACTCAATCTTGAAACAAAATCAATGAAAACTTTCTTTATGAATCAGAAACTGAAACTAAAAACGAAGGCAACATGCTGGGGCAACGTAAGATGGTGACCTCGTGGGGATCGGTGATTCCGTTGTATCGGCCGGCGACGATGACGGAGATGGTTGGCGCAACGAAAGCATAGGAGCCGCCGATGACGGTGGGCAGGCGCGTGCCCCATAAGGTCTGCAGCAGCGTGTTGATCCCTGCTACGAACAGCAGTGTCTGGATTACCCGCGCCTTCTCATGCTTGATCCAGAGAAAGAAATTCATGTCAAGCTCCCATAAAACAGTAGAGGGATACAGGGGAAGCAGAGGCAGAGCTGAAGGGAAGGAAGAATAATGGACGCGCTTGGTTGGCAGACACGTACATTACCGCCGCCCATCTGGGGGACGAGGGCAGTGGGGATTATTACGGTGGTGCCGAGCATGACGAGGTAGTGCTGGAACCCGAGAACGATGGCCATGACTGCATCGCATCTCGCAAGCGCACAACAGAACGGAAAGCAGCATCAGAGTTTCAATTAGGTGTAACTTGTGGGAGACTGGGAGATGATGCAAACACATTCGAATAATGCAACGAACAACCGAGAGCGCAGGAGATTTGAGGCAAGCTAGGGAATGGACCAACGCAGGTAACTCACGCCACGGGGGAGGAGAGGTGAGCATATACGACACGCCGGGTAGCTGCTCCTTTACGGGGTGCGGCAGTAGTTCCTCCTGTGGCGACGTCGATGCAGGCGCGGATGCCATCGGTTCCGTAGACCCTAATCTTGGTCACTTGCCCCCTGTCGACAAAGAAGAAACAAGGAGCAGTGCGAGCTCCAAATGTGTAGTCAGTGGACTTGAGGCGAGGAGCGGCCTGAAGCCAACTGCTGCCGGTATGAGAGAGATGTGCAGTAGCCGCCCGTGGCCATGAGAGGGGTTCGGGGAGGCACATGGTTCTCAGTAACTTTCCTCGGCAATAGCGCTGAGCTCACATGCTCCACACTAGCCCCGATGACCCCCACAGCGTGCACACTTTTAGCGGTAACGCTTGTGATCGGGCATCAGGACGCGACAGATCGGCCGCTGCCCCCCAACCCCATGTCAACACATGCTACCTCCCGTCCTTATCCATCGAGCAAACAGCCGGGCTGCTTGGTTTCGGCGGTTGCCTCGTCTCGTGAGTGAGACGCGACCAGAATTTTAGACTTATCCCCGTGAGTTAGGCTTCTCTTATTATTTTAGCATTTAAAATTTAATATAGATTTTTTTCTACTAAATATCTTATAGTGAGATTTCTATATGCTATGACTAGTAATAGTGTTTTACTACTACTTAAAAACACTAGAAGAAGTCCTCTATTTTGGTAATTACAGGAGAGAGTAAAAAAAAAAAAAATCGTCCCTATAGGCTTCGATAGGCTCGTTCAAGAAAACCCTGACTCACTATCCTTAGAGCGTCTCCCAGAAAAGACGAATAACAACCCTAAAACTGATATTTGCGTTAGCAGGAAAACATCGGTCCAACAGTTCCCCAAGCCTTCCTCCAAGATTTACTCCCTCTGAAAAAACAAGCAAGCGTCCCGCTTTTCTGCAGAAGGAAGATGCGCCCCCAATCTTTCTCCCACACTCGTCCTCTCCGCTTTGTTGCTCCACCTGCCATCGAAGTGGCCTCCCATCTTCTTCCATCCAGGTGCCAAAAGATTGAAGATGGAGGCAGCCTGAGATGCGCTTCCATCCAGGGGCGTGCGCCTTGGGATGCCAAAATATTCATCCTGTTGTTCTATAGTTTACGGTATGCGCAGAAACAACGTACGCCCATTCAAAACCTGCACTATAAAATAATTAGACACAAATATATAAGCATCTTTTTATACAAAATATGTTGCATCGTGTATCTTCATCTGAAATAATTTGGAGCGTACATAGGATGACTGGCAAAATAATCCTGATATAGCCTCTGATGTCCCGCCTGCTGAAGCACTCGATGGCCATGAATAGAACCACAGTGTTTTGGTTCTTCATCATACTCATACTCATTAATTACCGCATGCGCGAAATCAAAAATGAAATCATCATCATCATCATCACCTGCACCTGGTTCATGAGAAAGCTATGTTGATCCATGATCCTTATTACTTATCTCGAACGGGAATCAGACAATATATTATGTAAGATCTTTGTGGTGTGTAACAAGTCGACATGAGGACGTGTGCTAGCAGAGAACAGGCAAGGCCACAAGTGATGGCGACGAGCACAAGGCTGATGGCGACGCTAGCATATCTGGAGATCATCCTGCCCACATACGTGGATTGCAAGGTTTGAGACCTGGAGTCATCGTACCAACAGAAAGGAACGAGCGGACAGAAAAAGTCAAGATCCGACTAGCTAATCCAATCTCTGATCCAACTAACTAATGACGTGTCAGTATTGGGGGTAAAATATTAGGGAGCTGCTGTGGACCAAACTAGTCTCCACAAATACTCGCCTCACAAATACTATAGTGATGATTTTTTGTGTCCCACAAATAGCCATACTCATTAGTGATGAATTGTAATGCCACTAGTGAAGTGGCCATTTGTGGCCCCGTTCGTTGTAAAAAAAAATGTATTAGTGGCAAAAAATGAATAAATTAACAATGATATTATATAACAATAAAATTTATTTGCTCACAATTAACTTGGTAACTAGTGACTAAAGAATATTTTGCCACAACATTTTCTCACTAATTGTTTACCACGCGACGATGCAAAGTTTTGTCACTAATAAATGTAATAATAGTGGGGGTAATTGTTTAGTCACAATTAATATGGTAAATAGTGGCAAAATATAATTTTGCCATAACATTTTCTCACTAACCTTGAACCATGTGGTGATATAATATTTTGTCACTGAAAAATGGCATAATTGTATGGAAAAATATTTTGTCACAATTAACCTATTTATTAGTGGCAAATTAATGTCTCTCCACTAATTTCGCCACTGATGGTGCATCCTGTGGCGATATAGTAGGTTGCCACTAATAACCTACGCAACAGTGATGACAATTAGTTTGGTCACTAATAACATGAGAATGAGTGACCAAACAAAATTCTGCCACCACATTTTATCACTGATGCTCGGTCTCCCTCTAGTGAGTATAACTAGGCTGAAGATGTTCTTGAAGACGCATTTGCATTTCTGACTTGTAGCCTCCTTACCCCTGAAAATGAGGATATTTCTCACCGTCCAGATACTCCAGCACATGATGACGATGTTCTCGATGAAGAAAGGAACATTGAGCTAGGTTTTGAAAGCTTCTAGGATCCGAAATGGTCCTTGAGACTGCGGGACAGCCAGCTCAACAAGGTTCCAGCAGGTTTTTGCAAATTCACAATGCAGAAAAAGATGATCCACCATCTCTTACACCGAATCATTGCAGAGTACACGGTTAAAGGACTGCAGATTCATGTTCTTCCTTCTTAGGATATTTAATAATGAAAATAACATCTTTAAATACGCAGCGGAATAAATGAACTCATTTTCTTGAATTTTACCCACAGGGAAAAATGCTTTTTTCTATTTTTCTTTTGAGCCAATTTCTATTTTCAATTTTCTGGAAAAAAAGAAAAAGCGAAACCGGGCTCATTCTTTACCGTTTCGGCCCAAAACCGGCAAAAGCCGGCTCGGCCCATCGCTCCGCGCGCGCGCAGGTCGTACCCAGGCCGCAACCTGGGCCTGGGCCGGCAAAGTCGCGCGCCGCGCGCGCCCGCCTGGGCCGCGAGTTGGCCCGCTCTATCTCGGCCGTCCGCGCCGATCCGTTCAGATCCGACGGCCGAGCGGTGAGATCGGGTGAATAAAACCCGCTGACGCCGGCCTCCACCCGAAAACCCTAACTCACTATCTCCTCTGCTCTCTCTCTTCGCCGCTCTCTTCTTTCTTTCCTCAGCGCAGCAACAGCAGCCACCGAGTGACTCGAGCGGGCGAAAATGATGGAGCGGGCAGAGCCTTGGTGCCGTCGCCGTCCCCCTCGCCGGCGTGCGCGCTCCCCAGCGGGTGAGCGCGCCGCCGTCGAGCGGCCTGGCCGCGGCGCCCCTTTTGGCCGGAGCCCGGCGAGCTGTGCCCCTGGCTCGGACTTCTTTTCCCCGCGCGCCGGCGTGACAGCAGCGCTGCGCAGCGGCGAGGTAGGCCACCCCTTCCCCTTCTTCCCCTTTCGGATTTACTTCGTTTGTTCGGATTCAACCGATTTGGGGATTAGGGTTAGGATTTTACTGTTTCTCTTCCCCGTTGAAGACTTTTACGGGTTTAGGGTTCGGCTCTTACGTTCTTAAGGCCGAAACCCTCTTCTTTTTATCCTTTCCTTAACCCAGTTTGGGTGGTTCAACCGAACCTTCTTTCCTTAACCCAGTTAGGGTTAGGGTTCATCCGAACCTTCTTTCCTTTTCTCAGATCTGAACGGATCTAAACTGATAAGCTAGATCTATACCTAAATGAGGCTCTGGTACCATTGTTAAGACTGTAGGATCAAAGGGATCATAGATCTAGCCATAGGGTGATTCTATTCGGGATAAAGGAGACGTAGTACATCCTAATACGTATAGAACGAACTAGAGAGAGAGATAGAGAGGGAAGGGAGAAGGCACCGAACCTGGCACCGTAGAGGGGGAGGGTTCGAAAGACACCATCAGGTTCGTCGGTGATGTTTATGCACGGGTAGCGACGGTCGGTGAAGAGGGCGATGAAGACGTCGTCATCGTCGATGGAGCAGGCGACGCAGCTGGTGGCTTCCCATCACTGGCTGTGCCCCTCTTTGATCGGATTAGGGTTTTGATGTCGGTGGGGAGCTCGGCTCAGATCAACCTTGAACAAGACCCGCCAGCCCCTACCTCTTTTTATAGCGCAGGGTGACAGGGGCCCTCCAGCCATGGTGGGCTGGGCGCCTCCGATCAGGGCGCAAATCAAAGGCCCAACTGGGCCATTGGGTCCAGTTAGGTTAGAGATCAATCTAACACAGCCTCCTAGCTTGTGAGAGATATAAGGATGTACTAACTAGTATTCTCTCACATCTGTTGACAATGGGCAGAAATTCCTTAGTTTTTTGCTTTGTCAGACCCAGGGGGAGGCCAAGATAGGTAAAAGGTAGGCTACCAGTTGAACGTCCAAAGGTCCTAGCCAGATGATTCAATTTTTCCTAAGAAGTATTAACTGGGACCATCATAGACTTCTAAAAATTAACTTTTAGCCCAGTTGAAGCAAAGAAAGAACTTAGCAAGGCCCTTAGAACGAAGAGTTGTCTACCACAACCTTCCATGATGATGAGAGTGTCATCAACATACTGTAAAATTGGGAAGTTATTGGAGCATTGTAGTGGTATTGGAAACTTGAAAAGACCAAATCTTTGGCTTTGTTTATGATGGACTGAAGGAGATTAGCAACCAAGACAAAGAGTAGGGGAGAGAGGGGGTCTCCCTATCTGACTCCTCTCCTATAGTGGAAAACCTTTCTAGGTATTCCATTAAGCAACAGATTCCATCCAGGAGAGCCATTTGTGTCCAAATTACTTTGCCTTCATTATTTCAATAATGGTCTTGTGCTCAATATTGTCAAAAGCCTTTTCAAAATCCAACTTTAGGATGTGTTAGGATCGTAGATTACCTCTGTGTAACCATAGATCCGTAGTAAGGCTCCTTTGCCCTTCGGAGCTTCACCGCAGCGACGTGGACGCCGATGCCGCGGTGTAGTAGGTGTCCTGCGCGATGAAGATGAAGTCCAGTGGCGCTGCAGTGGCGA